ACTGCACAAACCCTAGAGAGGGTGCTGAGACGGGCATCACATGTGCTGCATTTGATGGGATCCCAATGATCCCACTTCAAGGCCTCTGTGAGCATGGAAGAAGGAACCCCGCTCCCTTTCTCCTTCATGCTGAATGCAGAAAGCCACAGGACCCCACAACTTGGGAGCTTCTTAAACCATGAGACTAAGACAAGAAAAGAAAATACATTATGAGGCAGGTGCACCTCAGTCTTCTTTCTACCTTGATTTCCGTCACCAAATCCTTCCCAGCAGGTCTCCAGACTATTGTAACCTCTTAAGGTGACACCATCCAGTGTCATTTTGTGTTAAAACTCCAGCTTCAGTCTCCTCTCCAAACCCCTACTCTTCGCCCAGGCTTGTGTCAGAGCCAGCTGACAGATCAAACCATTACACAAATATGGTTTACCATTTCCCACAGATTCAAAATTTTAACAAAAACTTCTGCAGTAAGAAGCTTTTAATTTGAAGGAGGTTGTCTATCATTAAATTACCCTTCTGTCTCCATGGAGGTCTACTAAGGATGGGAAAGATAATATTTGTAATCCTGAAACAACACCATGCAGATTGCTATCTGTTTCATTTGTGAAGTCCCAAGAGCAGCTTAAGAAGTCTGCCTTAATCACTCAGGAGCAGGCAAACTTTGAAACAGCCTGCCAAGAGATTGTAAACTGTACAGAAAGCTGATTTCATATTACATAATAGCCGAAAGAAATCTTGAGCAAGTACATCCACGAGTTTCCCTTGTGAAAAGTCTGTACAGAGCCAAGTATTTTCTTCATCAAATAGAGCTAGAAGTAGTCCTTGCATAAGGGGCTACAAACCAAGGACAGCTAGGTATAAAGCAATTAACATAAATATGTGGAGGAGCCGAACATAAAGGAACACTGGGCTCGGAGGCTCATGGCAAGCATTCAGCTTGAGTTTTTTGAGAAATACTATGAGATTACACATACCACCTCTTTGGGCCAAACGCAACACACAGGGCTGGAATAAACTGCTTAAAGCACTGGGCAATAGAAATTACCACAGGCTAAGCAGCAATGATTATCGTGAAAATAGAGGAAATATTAATTAGGATCTTCAGCGGTCCCAAGTATCCCCAAAGTAAGTGGTTGACCAGGATTTAAGAGCTACAGGATCTAGGTCTATCCTTTTAAGCAGGGCAGACCCAGAAATATGGGGACAACTGGCCACCTTAAACAAGATGATAATTTGCTGTGTGTTTGGAGCTCAGAAACAAAATACAATGACTTCACAGGGTAAAGTTTTAACCAAAAATTGAAATTTGATGTTTAGTTTGAAACAAATAAACAACACGAGACAGCATGCAAAGAAAACACAGTTATCATGAAAACACCTCCAAAGAGCAGCTAGAGTGAGTGCCACAGGAACGTGATGGACATCACTAGCACATCTCTTCAACATTTCACATTGTTCTCTGGGTTTCTGTCCTGCCTGGTTTCTGTCCTCCCACCAGGTCCCACAGCTGTTTAGTCCCCAAAGAAATCACACAGAGGTCGATATTAATGATAAACTGATTGGCCCATTAGCTCGGGCTTCTTATTAACTCTTATAGCGTATATTAGCTCATTATTCTAGTATATGTTAGCCACACGGCTCAGTACCTTTTTCAGAGGGGCAGGTCACATACTCCTTCTTCTGAGTCTGGGCAGGACTGCAGAGGGAGCTTCCCTCTTCCCAGCATTCTCCTGTTCTCATATTGATCCGCCTCTGCTTCCCATCTGGTTGTCCCACCTATACTTCCTGCCTGGTACTGGCCAATCAGTGTTTATTTTAAACATAATTGACAGAACTGTCCTGCACCATCACAAGATACTGAGAAGTGTATTAAACATGAGAGGTATTAAAGAGAGAGAGAGATCTACATCATTTAATGACCCAGCTGAGAGTAACATCTTAAAATACAAGGATGTTCATGTTAAAAATGACTTATTAGTTTTATATTTCATTTCTTGATGTTGTTTCTCATCTTCCACATCCTTTAGAAAAACAACAGGCATTCGTTTTCCAGATATGATATACTGACACCGGGAACCTCCATCTTGGCACAGATGCAGCTTCACCAACTGGAACAAGAGTATTCTCCAAATGTCAAAGTGGACCTATCACAGAGTCCCCACTGAAAAGTGTAAGGACGTGTGCACAGTGCAAAAGTCAACTTAGCAGTGATCTGAATGAGGCTTATATTTAAATCAGAAATTGGGCAAGTTACTCATGTCCATCTCTGTGAAACTCTTATAAAACTACAATCCCAATTTCTTTAAATAGCATAGTCAATAACATTTATTTCCTCTCTCATTCGAAGAGAAAGAGAAAGATACAAAACACAGATAAAGAAGTTTTGTGGGCAAAAGTATCAAATTTGACCTCAAGGTCCATAAACAGTGGCCTAATAGTTGGAGAGCGCATTAATGTAAACAGTGTCTGCTACACCTATGAGGAGCTTTCCTGAACACAGGAAATTCATGTTTTTCTTGCCTTATTCCTTAGTGTAAAAGTTGGCATACCTTCAAATGTTAAAAAAGAAAAGCTGTCCCTACCCATGCCAGTGTATGCTTCTTGCCTCTTCTTTCATATCCGTAATCACTCTGCAGATTTGTTTTTCAACATCTACATCCATACCTTGGGATAAATTCTAAATCCTTTAAATTTCTTATTCACTCTCCACATTTCCCTGCAATTGTATGGCCTGAGTCCACCTCTCATGAAGCAGTCAGTGGAAAAACACAACATTTATAAAAAAACAAAACAAAACAAAAAAACTTTCCTAAGACTTTTAGCAAAAGTTTTTGATCAGGCAAGCCTATTAAAAGGTAACACATTTAATGAGCACTTAACTAATATTATTAACAGCTGGATAATTAAAACCTTTAATAAAAAATGTCAAACTAGCAGGGTCATAATTTCCAGTAACACTGGACAAGTTGACGTTGCTGTTCCTTTTTGATTCTTCCCTTCTAATTTGATTAAACCAGAAATAACAAGCAAATGTAAGTCCTTCCTGGAACTCATCATTTAATTTATTTTCCAGAATTGGACAGGTAGGATCCAGCAGCTTCGGACATAAGGTAGGATGTAAGAAATGCAGACTGGCCCACCAATTATCAAGAGAAGATGCCACATAATGATCCTGCTCAAATGTTTTTTATAGTGTAGTTGAAAGGGTCTAGTTGTGAAAATAAGGTTGCATCATAGAGAGGATGGGGAATTTCCTCAAAAGACAAAGACCATGAGAATCCCTGAACACAGAGCATCCCCTGGTGAGAGATGGACTGAACAGGACAGGTCGCTTCTAGGCTAGTCTGTTGTGCATTGCTGGCTGACTTACAAAGGAAGAGACTAATCGGACAGGAGCAACTGGAGATGACTCTATTTTCTTAGCACATTACTGGCATTCCCAGGAAACGGTGACACGTTGAGGTGGTAGCTATCATTAAGAAACTGTTCGAGTGAGCAGCTCTCGAACGATCAGAGAAGCAAGGCTGAGATGCGATTACACAGTGAACCTTGTGGTCAGGTCACTTCCCCGGCCAGAATTTTCAAAGCTCAGAAAGGAAGATCTCAGCTTGCAAGTCAAGCTTTCCCAGCCTTCCTGGGCCAATCTAAACCTGCCCTTCCAAATTTCCCCGCAATGATCTCAGTGAAGAGGGCATCAGCCAGTGTTCCACTCTGGGGTCTACTGAATATTCTCTAAACTTTACAAATCCCAAATGATGATGCCTGGGGACTCAAGGGGCTTAAACATCTTAAATTAATTCACTCGAATTAAATTAAAATTTAAAATTGAAGAGATGCTATTGGCCCTTTGGGAAAATTAGAGATAAAATAAAAACAATTAAAAGAACAGCATAATGAAGAAGAAAACTGAAAATATAAAAACTCAGATGGAAATGGGGAAAAGCTGCTCATCTTGTGATGAGAGGAACGCAGTCCCATAATAAACAGCTTCAACTTGCACATTTAAAGTAAAAAATAACTAAACCTAAACTAATAAAATAACTTATATTTTGTTCCTATAGTAAATGCCATCTGTTCTATGTTTTTAATAATTTTTTGAGATAATAATTGCATAATTGGCCTTCTTTCCTTTCTTCTCTCCAGCCCCTTTCATATACCCCTTGCTCTCACTGATATTCATATCCTCTTTGTTAATAGTTACATATACATGTGTGCACATAAATACAACGTCCTCTCTGCATAGTGTTACTTGTGTCTATGTGTTCAGGGCTGGCCACTAGGTACTGGGTAACTAATCGGCGTGCTCCTCCCTGGGCCACCATTTCCCCCACTCACGGGATTCCTTAGTTGCCTGCAGTTCTGTGTCTAAAGCTGAGGCCCCATGAGCTTTGCACTTTCTTTTGCATCTTAAAAATTTAGAATACTCATTGTTTACTGAGTCTTTCTTTATTTTCAAAGTATACAGATGATTGCTTCTAGAGTATAAATGATGGGTGGGCTTATGTGTGATGCTAGAGGCCTTCCGTCCTGTGTTTCTCAAACTACTTCTGGAACAATGAGGTTAAGTAGGTGTCTGGGAATTCACTCTTGTAGAGAGAGCTGTGGAAATGGGGCTGAGTCTTCAACCAGCTGTGCTGGTGGGTGTTCCCATGACTCCCTTCTGCATGCAAAAGAGAAGAAGCCAACAAAAGCCCATTCCATATACTGCTTGGCCTGTGACCTAATTTCCCCAACACCTTTCCCAGGCCAGTCCCCACTTAGCAGCTGAAGTCGGCTTACCCCAGGGAAAGAGTCGCTCACAGCTGCTCAATGCTTTCCCCTCTCATTTGTTCCAGTCTATCAACCGGAAGAGATTTAACAAACAACTATGGAGAGTCTTTACCCTCAAGGAAATTATAACCCGTTAACTGGGAAAATGAGTAAGTACCCAGCAACAAAGACTGCAAGGCCACTACAGGGCTCTCCGCAGCTTTTTCCACACACCCTCTGTTTACCATGCAATCTCCTCCGTACTCCTAGATCGCTGTGCTCTTGAGGACGCCATCAGACAGGGCAGTCTGTTGGTCTGCTCTCACATGGAACTGATAAAATGACCAAAGCACTGAGGTAATTTCTGGTTAGTCTGTTTGTTTGTTTAATCTCACATGGGGCTTACAAATGACGGTGAAGATGGAAGTCATTTTAAAAGCATGCTTCTGCCTTCTCCTAGTGACCTTCAAAGAAGTCATTAAAAACTGCTGCTTAGAATGGCATTCTAATTAACATTTGGGATTGTGTGCTTGCTGTCTCCCTGGGGGAGTCATGAATTTATTTTCTTCTGGAAAAAAAAAACAATAACAATAACAAAAACCAGCTTCCCAGTGTTGCCCTGAACTGCTTATTTTAGTCTTTTCATTCCATGTTAAACTAAGTAGTAAACAATCTTTTCTAAGTTGCTTCCTCTCTCATGGTCACCACTGACGCACACATCAGCCTGGGGGGAGGCCTCCAAGGATTACGCAGCATGCATTAGACGCAACTTGGCAGCCACTTGTAAACTCCAAAAAGAGTAAATCAAATATCAGTAGTGATTGTGAGGCTGAATTGCTTCCTCTTTCCCAGTTTCTCACAAAACTATCCGACTCCAGCTTCCCCTCTCCAAAACAGCAGCCGGCTCTGACGGAAGTCTGTTCTCCCCAACTTGCTTCTATTTAGGACCAACTGCTTATATTATTTTTCTCAAGCCTATTAATAACTTAGAGAAAAGAAGTGCACATGGTAAAGCTTAAACAACAGCACAACTATCTTCCTGTGTTATTTTACCATATCTTTGTGTGCTGTGAATCCTCTCTTTACCTCAAGAATATGAATTAATGGTGAGCTGACACAGCAGTCTCATTGAAAATATACACAGGATACATTTTCCACGGTTATCCAGTTAGCTTGGGTTTTTTTGGATTTTTTTTTAAATTTCATTGTATTTCTACCTGAAATTATTCCACTAGGGCTTATATAATAAAGGTCATATAAAAGTAATGTTTAATTATTACTTTTTGGACTTTTAAATATTACAAAAGGCAAAAGTTATATTGATTAAGCATTTGTGGGTCTTTTTCATTTATTTTTACTTTTTGTATTAAATACATATTTTAAAATTGTTTCTTTTATTTTTTTTTCTTCCTTCCAATACCTTTCATATTCTCCTCCTTGTTCTCTTTCAAATTCATGGCCTCTTTTTTCATTAATTGTTTCTATAAACATACATGTATTATGTTTCTGTGAGTCCTTGGTGCATGATCTTGATAGAATAAATGTGAAGTAGTATTTATAAATACTTAGTTAGTACCTGATTGTTTCCCGTTTCTTCACTGGAAATAGTAACAAAGAATTTTTTAAGATTGTAAGACATTACAATAGATAAATCTATTTCAATATATAGTAAATGCTTAATTTCTAATAGATGTTAACTCAGTACAACAATAAAGGACCAAAAATTAAAAACAAAAACCAAAAAGCCCTGCCATCTTACTCATGCCTAATAGAAAAGCTTCCAGATGTAGTAGAAGATGGGCACTTTGGGCTTTTTAGATCAGATAATATGTTTCTAAGAGAAGTGCTTTTTAGACACACATACATATCAATGGGGCTCAAACTCTCACCAGGAATACTTGGAAGGCCTTCCTACTTTTTGTTACTTTACCTAAGTCATTTGTGCCTGGGTGTGGAAGTATTCAACACCCCTTCCAAGTCTGCAATGGAAGTAGATCCCTCCCGCAGCAACTCTTAACCAGTTGAACCACCAGCGAGTCCTTGCAGACTGAGCATAATCCAGGTTAAAGCAATTCCTCTGCATCACTGATCCTAACCAGATACCCGGTGTACCTCTGCCTCTACTAATGACTGTCTTTTAGTTATAAAGTCTACCTGATGAAGGCAGCTCATCGTTCATTATAGCTTAAGCATTCTCATCTTCATCAAAATTATCCTAAGCCCCACTCCTTATCTAGGGGAATAGGACATTTATATTGGAGTCTTATGAGTATCTGGGGGGTGGGGCGCTGATGATTGCAAAACCCAGATCAAAACTCTCCCAGTTGGCTAGTCTGAGTTCCTGTGGTCAATTACAGCAGTACTGACCCACTACAGAGTGAGGAGTCTGTGCTATTAGCGCCTGTACAACTGAACTTAGGTAATTGCTAATACTTTCCTGCTCTTCCAAAATGAATATTTATTGATCATTTCCCTTGGCAAATTCAAAGTGGCAAAAAGACTCAACACTTCCAGTTTCCGTCTACTTCCAAGGAATAAAATTTTACTTCTTAAATTTTTAAATATTTTTGGATAGGTAGTAGAAAGTTATGGTTGTTATATTATATCATTAATACAGCTTTTTAAAGAAAGCTTCAGCTACTCATGGGCTAAAAGACTTTAGAAAGTGACATTAGACAAAATAAATCACAAAATTCACAAAGAAAATGACAACAATGTAACAGGATTGTTCGTAATCTATATTACGAGCATATATATTGGGATACGCAGCCCAAATTCTAACCTACCACTAATTCCTTACTTCCTTACTTTAATGGTCTATGTTAACTACTTTGGCATGACATACATTTATTAGTTATTTATCAGAATCACCTATTATACATAGGTAATTCACATTGATCATGAATATGTCTATTCTTCACACAATTTTCACTGCTAGGGAATATAGAAAAATTATAGGAAAATGTTTTCTATATGCCGCCAAGGTTGTTCTCACTTCAAACCTTGGCCATAGATAAGGAATTGGTAAAGATGCTTTAAGAACAAAATTTCTATGCACAGTCTATGCCACTGCACTTCCGAAATATCAACAGGCGCTACTGAGTCACCTGCAGCAGCGTCCGCCTGAACCCACGAAGCTGCTTTCAGGGTGAGGTGCATTCGCCCCGGCTCACCTTTCCCCACCCCGCCGTGGGTCTGTGCCTCTGCTACCTACTCCTATGGGCTTTGGAATGGGGCAGAGCCCTACAAGAGAGCCTGGGAGAACAGCAGTGATGTTCTGGATTTAGCTGTTCAGAATTTTGAATGTGTTTTAACATGCAAAGAAGTTACAAAGTACAATTAAGATCTGCAATAGTCAGACAGATTAGGAGATACATGGGCTTTGGCTTGACACATGAACTTTTATTCCTCTGGTAAAACTAATTTTGGATTAAATACATTTAACTTAAAGATACGTAATACAACTTGTTCATTAAAAGTAGATTACAGCACTGCATTTAAGAGTAGGAATAATTTCTATTTTAAAGCTGTTGGTCTAATTTGCCCTTTTAAAGAGTTAAGAGCAGAGGAAGTAAGGGTGTTTTTGAGAAAACGGTGACAGGAGAGTTTAGATTGTTGAAGACTGTTATTCTGACAGACAAATCTGTAACATGCTTTAACTTCACTGTTTTTCTCATTTATTTCACCAGCCAATCTGAAAGTTTATTATGCGCCAGAAAGTTTTTTTGTGGACATTAGAAACAGCAGTGAAAAAAGACAAGCAACTTTTGATCTAGTGGAGTTGATAATGTGGGGTGGAAACTGGAAAGAAAGGAAGACGGAATTCAACACCGGAACAGGAAAAATAAGACCTTAATAATAATATGACTGAAGTTAACAGCAAGGTGACTTTGTGGGTCAGGGACAACTCAGAAACTGTGTCTCATCCCTTTCTGGGACCTGGGCAAGAAGGAACGGGGTCAAAGTGTGAGTCCAGAAAAGGCACCAACTGACCCTGGTGAGGCCGGAAGCCGGAGAGAGGTTCCTCTGTCATGTGCAATAGGAGGCCACAGGAGAGTTTTGAGGGGACACTGATTGCAGCTCATTTGTCTTTAAAGAGATCCCTCCAGATGTTGAGAAGGAAAAGGTCTACAAAGATGGAATCCAGAGGAGCTAAGAGGAATCAGTCAGGAGTAGGCTTGCATATACCCATGAGGCCCTGCGTGTGAACCTCAGGAACCATCTTTAAGCTCTGTGAGTTTAATCCTTGTGCTGGGGAGGCAGAGACAGGATTCTCTAGGCAAGAAACCTGCAGAATGGGTGTGCTTCCGGTTCAGTGAGAGACCCTGTTTCAAAAATAAGACGGGGAGTGATAATAGTCTCCATTGGCTTACACACACACACACACACACACACACATGCACACACACACACACACACTCACACGGAGGAGCAGGAAGAAAAGGAGAGGGAGGACAGACAGAAGGAGAGATCAGAATGCAAACACAGGGAACAGTGTGGAGGCCACTGTAAAAGGAGATGAGCTAGACGAATCTGAAATGGTGGGAACTGAGAGAAACAGATGTGACTAGACTATACTCTCTAAAGAGAAAGAAAGTTTATTTAGCTCTCCAATATGCTTAAACTCTTCAAATGTGTGCTTTTAAAAGAAATTCATATTCCGAAAGCATTAGGCATAGGTAACACTGAAACCCACCCTCCAGGGTTCCCTTCTACTCAGCTGTCGAGGGGGGCATGAGAACAAACCGAAGACAGCACAACCATAACATTTCTTCCTTCGCAAGCTGAAACCCAAGATCATTTGCATATGCTCTCATCTGCAGAAGAAGTTTGGCTCAACCCCTCTTGGTTGTTGACATGTAACCTACAAATGTTTCAGTCTGGCAACCATATCTACCCTTAGAACCAAAACATGGTGCCTGAAACCAAGAGCCTCCCTCCTGGCAGAACACAGAGTGTATGTTCTGGGAGCAGACATGCTTGGACTCAGCCAGAGTGGCAGGCCTATAGGAAAAGCTGCTTTATTTTTACGACTTGTTATTTTGGTTTTTACCTTTTGGCATAGTACGTAATATACAAAGGAGTAGTCTCTTCCCTCAGGAGCTTTAAGCCAACTAAACACAGGACTCTCTCTTGGTAGAGCAAGTAAGTCAGGATTCTCCAGCTTCCTGGGGCATTTAAAATGGAATTCTAGAGTCCAATAGTGTAAGGACTACTGATTGAAAAGTCACAAAAGAGAGCCAGGTCCTATTAAATAAAATGACGGGTTGGTTACAGGCACAGTGCAGCAAATAATTAATTATAAAAACCTGTAACTCTTCTGTGGAAGTGGACAAAACAAATCCCCACCTGGACTT